CATTGCCCGCTGTGCGCCCCGGGGCGCGCGGCGGGCTTCTCCCCGTCGACGCGGCCCCGCTCTACGTCGCGGCCCCGCCCCGGCCCGTCGCCGCCCGTGCGCCTGCCCGGCTCGGCCCCGCCCTTCGTCGCGGCCCCGCCCCGGCCCGTCGCCGCCTGTGCGCCTGCCCGGCTCGGCCCCGCCCTACCTTTGCGGCCCCGCCCTATGTTGCGGCCCCACCCTATGTCGCGGCCCCGCCCTACGTCGCGGCCCCGCCCTATGTCGCGGCCCCGCCCCGACCGTCGCGGCCCCGCCCCTCGTCGCGGCACCGGCCCCCCCCCCCCCCCCCCCCTTTTCTCCCCTCCCCCTGCCATTTCCCGTCGTCCGTCGAGGCGACCTGAGGGGCGAGCTGTGGGGTGGCGGGTATGGGGGTGCTCGGTGTGCCTTCCTCCCTTTGCTCCTCCTCCTCCTCCGTCTCCCACTGCTGCAGCTGTCGCTGAGGGGGGTGGTTGTGTGGGAGACTCGGGTTTAGGGTTTAAGGGGGGTGCGTAGGAGTAGAGCTAGCGGTGTAGCAGTGGGTGTGTATCAGGGGGGTGGGACTGTGTGCGAGAGGTTGAGTGGAGGTTGTCAGTTTGTCGTTCGCAGCACCTGTAGTCCGGGGCGCTGTCCTGGTAGCCCAGTCGTAGCCAGCTGTGCCAGCCGCCCGTGGGTCCGTTGCCCGTCCGCCGCTATTTGAGCCGCGGGGCCTGTTACTCCTGTAGTCCGGGCGCTGTCCGGTAGCCGCTGTGCCAGTCTGCCTCCTGTTGCCCGTGTGTCTGCAGCTTCAGCCGTCGCCTCCTGTCTCCTCTCCCCTCACTCTCCCTCCTCCTCATCACTTGCCCGTTGTGACTACCACTAGTTTTGCTTATAATTGTGAACTCTAAACTATTTCTTCTTGAACTTGTGCTCAGAATGTGTGGTGACATTGTGATCCACCCTGAGCTTGTTTTGCTTTGCCTGCTCTGCTGATTACACCCCACTTTGGCTATGGGGGTGTGTCAGAATATTATCTTATGTTCTAGCCTGTAGTGGGGTGCTCTATAGCGAGTACAACCCTTCTAGGGTTTTGCTATTTGTATCCTCATTCTTGCTAGTTCAACTCCCTTTCATTCCTTCTAACTTTTGACAGAAATATCACCGGGAACCGTTTCATTAGTGCCTGTAGTTCGGTCGGTACAGCTGCCAGCAGTTTCTCCAAATCACTCGGCTGCTCATCTTTTTCTACGAGTGCGATATCCACTGCGTACACGTCAGCTCCAGCAGCGACAGCCCGTTTCATTGTGATGGCGTTGACATGGACCATCGAAGATTCGGGTGGCTGCCAGCGAGGTAGAACGACCCAGTTACCACTACTTAGCACTGTGCAGCTCCCCGTCGTCCAGTCGATCCGTGGGTTGTACCGTCGCAGCCAATCACGTCCCAATAAAATGTCGTGCCCATCCAGTGTCGTCGCGAGCATTTCCTGTGTAAACCCGAAGTTCCCCCCGCAGCGGACTTTTACGCGCTCCACCTTTTCCCGTATGGCCAGGGGCGTGCCGTCGACTAAGCGTGCATCTATCTCAGGTAAACATCGGTTAAGCGTTAACTGTAATTTTCGTGCGGTTGCGGTATTAACTAAGCTGTGGCTTGCTCCTCCGTCAATGAAGATCTTCACTGCTGCTCCTTGTATTTTCCCGTAGATCAGTCTCGGGCAATCCGTCGCTGTACCCTCCTTATTCATCCGAGCCCGATCGATGGCGTGAATCGGTACTGTGACTCGGTGAGGGTCGGTGTGGTTGGGCGAGCAGGCAGTCTCGTCAGTAGTTGGCCCAACTTCTACTGACTGCTGGCGTTTCCCTGCCTCCGAGACTCCCTCCCCTGCTCTGCTCCTCGACGCCTCAGCTCCTCTGGACATTCGCTCTTGCGATGGCCCGGCCGGTTGCAAGCAAAGCAGCGCCCTCTAAACGGCGTGGCAGCTGCATTCGCTGCGACGGCATGTACAGTGGCGTGCTCGGTCGGTCCCCGAGGACGATGTACGTAATAGGACCCCGGTCTCGGTCGGCATAGGATATCGATTTTCTCGGCGAGCGCGAGGATCTCGTTGAAATTCGAGAGCCCGCGTAGCATTATCTCGTGCGAGATGTCCGGCTTCAGCCCTCCGACGTAACGGTCCACCCGCTCCGCTTCGTGCATGTAGCCGACCTGTTCGCAAAGTGCGAGAAACCCGCTGGTGTAGTCTTGAACTGACCCGAGCTGGCGCCAAGTGCGCAGTTTCTGACGCGCCGAAATCGAGGCCGCGATCGGCTCAAAGCGCGCCCGAAGTCCTGCGCACCACGCATCCCACGTGCTGTATTGGGCGGTTTCGCAGAACGAACTCCAGGTAACAGCTGGACCCGAGGGCCCTTCCTCGTGCGACGGTGGCTCGTAGGCGCGCGGCGACGTCACAATGACTCGCCACCAGTCCATGGCGGGGCCCCTGAGTAGTGAAACCGCATACCGGATCTTGGCGGCGTCCGACTCGACGTAGTTGGCGTCGAAAAACACATTCATCGTGAAGACCCACGATTGAACTGTCGGGCCGCCGCGTTGGCTTGGGTCGAAGCAGGGCGGGCGTTGCGGCTTGAGTGGCATTGGGGCCATCATGGCGTTCTCGCCACTTGTCGCCGCAAACTCCACGTGCCGACGGGCTTCTCGGGGCTCCCGTGGGCTTAATGCGCTCCTGTTCCCTCCCATGCCGGGCATCGGTTGGGCTGCGCCATCACTGGCTGCGCCTGAGCGCTGTCCCGTGCTGTTGTGTTGCGTTGGTGTGCCGGATGAGATGAGGATGGGCTCCTCCGAATGTGCAGATGCATTGGTTGGTGCGTGTGATGTCGTCGGTACGTTCACAGTTGACTGTTGACGGGGCGGAGTCACGTTCCGCCGTGAGAGTCGCGATTTCGAGCGCCGAATCCTCCAATTGACGCACGAGACGATCGAGTTGCTCCTGCGTCAACGTGGCGAGATTGAAATCGGCCATGGCGGGGGTGTTGGGCAAGTTCAGCGAGAGCCTCGGTCGTGGCCGTGCGTGCTTTCGAGAGAGCACTACGAGCGGCGGTGCTGTGTCGCTGAGAGACGTCTACCCCCCCCAAAAATTGAGATAGTGGGAAGCGAAGGTGTGGATGCGGTCCGAGATGAGATCGTAGGCTCTGAATACCAAGTGTTACGAGTGCAATTGAGTGGACGAACGAGAATTGCACTATCGAAGCAAGAATACAAATGAGCGAAGGCATGAGCGAACATTATATAGCGAAACTATAGTGGTAACGGTAATGGTCGCGCGACGAGCCTGGGACTGAGGTTGGGAAAGTGTCGAAGCGTAGGCCCGGAGCGCGGGTTACCAGCCGAGCCGTGAGGTCGGGATGCGATGTGCGAAAAGGGCGGGATGATGAATGATGCGATGGTCGCGAGTGGTAACGGTGCTGACTGAGGTGCTACAGTGATGTACGCGTTGAGCAGGGACGCGAAGTAAGGAAAAGGGAATTTCCTTACAGTATCAGTTCAGTGACGATGCACATAAGGAGCTAAGCAGATGCGTACATTTTAATTAGTTTCCATTACTCTAGAAAGGGCATGCCAAGTGTGGACGACAACCAGAAATTGATTCCAGGCACCGAGCAAAACACGTTACTTCATTATTGTGGGAACGATGGCCAATTTAATTCACATGGATATGGTTTGCATGCTTGAATTGGCTCCATTTGTGTAAAAACAGCATCGCTCGCACCTACACCAAAGAATTGGAGCTCTCTGCATACCGTACATGCATGGTCTGATTCTCTCAGTTCCGTTCCAGTGAGTTTGGAAGGGGAGGAACCTGCCAACGCCAGAGCAGGAACCATGAAAAGGCACGACTTCAAAAGTTGCACGAGGGCTTCAAACAAAAAGAAAACAAACAAACAGGGGGGTGAATGACCGGGATCATGCAAAATGAGATGCGCGACGGGGCAAGAAATCACTTGGTGGCTGGAGAGATATCTTCCAGCAGGAGGCAATGGAATGCCAAGCTTCTGAAGCTCTGCCACAGGGACCTCCCTCCTGCCAACGAGGTAAAGCATGCAGATGAGTGCTTGCCACATGCACAGTGAAGATATACCCGAACAGCACAAAAAGGTGCCAGCTTCATCCACACCCAATGCCAAGTGCGTGCGTGCGTGCGTTCATGCGTGTGGTGCATGCGTGTGCGCGTGCATGTATGCGTGTGTGCATGCACGCATGTGTGTGCATTCTGCAAGCATGGGACAGGGTGCCCACAACACAGCCACCAGGCACAGGGCTTACAAGGGCGCTTTGAACGGCCGATCCCGACAGCCAAACCGCATTTGCCCCGACTCCTTCCTCCCGCCTACTCCACCCCCTGGTTGGATACAACCACATGACAGATGCCTTTAGGTGCAACATCTTGAAGGTGAAGTGACACGGCAACAATAATTCTCTGTCACAACACAACATCATGTAGCCATGCCAAATGACCCCGGCATGCCAGTACCAAGCAGCCCCACTCTTACCATATCTGCGTGGCAGCCATCCCGGCAGCAGCGCTTGGCGGTAAAAGTCCACCAGCACCTGCCGGCCCCCCACACCCTCCAACTCCAACCCTCGCTGCACAGAAGGGGTCATCAAATGCTGTTCCGACATCCAGTGTAGAAATGGCAGCTATGGAAAGGTGGAGGAAATTACAGTAAATGAATCAAGCACAGTGTAGTGCAAACAACGTGGCTGCATGGCCTACCCGGTATGCTCTGTCAAACTGTTGGCACGTTTCGTACTCAACAAAGGCATAGCCTCGAGATGCCCCTGTCACTGTGCATGCGCCACCACACGCACACATACCCACAGACAAACATGCGAAAAGCAGAGGCGACCGCAGAGCGAGTAGTTGGGAGGAGAAGAGCGGGAGCGAGGGTGGCAAAAGGGAGGAGAGCAATGTGAGTGGGTGGAGCAGGACAGTCTGTGTAATGCGCGGCTCATGAGACAAACGCAGCAAGATTGTGAGAGGAGAGAAAGAGATGGTTGGTACGATGGAAGGAGGACGAGGGGGGCTAAGGTGGATGCGAAGGCAGCAGGGGAAAGAAAAGGCTGGCGAAGTGGGGACATGAAACCTACCGATGTTGCGCACAATGCGCAGCTGCTTCACACTGCCATGTGCTTCTACTGCCTGCCCCCCCCCCCCCCCCCCCACCCCCCCCACACACACACACACACACATTTGCACGTTATGCTCGCACGCGCGCGTACACACAAAACACACATGCGCTGCGCACCCCTCGACCCACAAACAGAGCAGGAACCAAAAAAGACGTTTGCATGGTTCCCCCACTGGCACGGGCGCACACACACCTGCAGCAGGCAGTCCTCTGTGGTGGTGGGCAGCATTCGCCCCACAAAGAGCGTGCACGCCGCATCCATGGCTGCCGCGCATGGTTTGTCTGCGCGGTTGAAGCCTCCATGGGAGAGGACAGGGGGATGGGGGGGTGAGGCCGGGGAGGCGGAGGGGAGAAGGAGAGGGGAAGGGGGGAAGGGAGGGGGGAAAGGGAGGGGAGGAATGGGAGGGGGAACGGGATGGGAAGCGGAACAGGTCAGGCATGCGTGTCGTGCGGAAGCTGTGCTCGCTGGGGTACACGGGCGGGATGGACCAACCTCTATGGGCTGTTGTAGGACGGTGTGATTGAAATGTCGAGGACGGAGTTACACGTCAGCAGCACGTGTTGGAAACAGTTGTAATGGGAGAGAGCGAGAAAGCGAGCGGGAGAACGTGGGGTTGGGAGTGGCGAGCGAAAACGAAAAAGGGGCGGGAGGAGGGCAGGACAGAGAGCTGACAGGCTGCGAGGCGGCGGGCGAGGAGGGCGCGCTTGATGGCGCGGTCATGGGGGCGCGTGTCCGTGCCGTCAATGCTGCCCGCCTGCACCGGATGGTACTCCTCGTGACCGTACCACACCAGCTGCCGCCCTCCCACCGGCCCTCCCCACCCCTGCTGCGGTCTTGGCTGCTGCTGCATTCGTTCGTGTTGCCTGGCTGACACGTCAGCATTTGGGACATCCGTCCCCTCCCCCACTCTCGCTCGGCTGCTGCTCCTGCGTCTATCCCTCTCCCTTTCCTGCTCCCTCCTCCTTTCCCTCTCCCTCTCCACATCCCACTCACTCTCCCTCTCCCGTTCCCTCTTCCTCTCACTTTCCCTCTCCCTTTTCCTCTCCCTCTCCCCATCCCAAACACTCTCCCTCTCCCTTTCCCTCTTCCTCTCACTGTCTCTCTCCCTCTCCCTTTCCCGCTCCCTCCTCCTTTCCCTCTCCCCATACCCCTCCCCCTCCCTCTCCCTCTCCCTCTCCCTCTCCCTCTCCCTCTCCCCCTCCCCCTCCCTCTCCCTCTCCCTCTCCCTCTCCCTCTCCCTCTCCCTCTCCCCCTCCCCCTCCCTCTCCCTCTCCCTCTCCCTCTCCCTCTCCCTCTCCCCCTCCCTCTCCCGCTCTCGCAGTCTGTCCAGCCCCTTCCTGTCCCGCGCATCATCTTCCCCTACTCCGCCTTCTTTCTCTCCTCTTCTCCGCCCATGCTGCCGAGAGTCCTCCCCCTCCCTCCACTCCTCTCGCCTCTGTTTCGAGTCTCTCCTCTTCCCTGGGGACCCAGAACGCCTCTCCCTAGCCCTTGTCCTCCGTGTCGTGGAATCCTCCTGCCCACTCCACTCCATTACTCTTCTACGTTTGCTGCTGGGCCGTCCTCCCTAAAAAACGGTTCGCTTGGACGGTTTGCTCCTGGCAGTGAACATTACTCGAACGTGACAGATTGACGCGCAGTGTCGTTGCTTGTCGCACCATTAGCACAGTGTCGTTGCTTAGCACAACCTTCAGGCTGGCGAGCAGGACGATTGTGCGTGTTTGAAGTATGCGGGATGAGACCAAATTGGCTGTACCCGAAATTTCATAATTTGTGTATATATATTAATGGTTCAAAAGAGACCATGATCGCTGGATTACAATAAAAATATATACATGTCTAAATTAACGTCAACTCAATGCAGAAAATTCAAGTGAAATAGAAACTGCTGAGTTTAAAGAAGTAACCTTCAGTAACAAAATAACTTACGACATGCTGTAAGCTTGTTGGAAGTATCGAAGAGGCAGTCAGTGGTTGTTACGAGTGCAATTGAGTGAACGAACGAGAATTGCACTATCGAAGCAAGAATACAAATGAGCGAAGGCATGAGCGAACATTATATAGCGAAACTATAGTGGTAACGGTAATGGTCGCGCGACGAGCCTGGGACTGAGGTTGGGAAAGTGTCGAAGCGTAGGCCCGGAGCGCGGGTTACCAACCGAGCCGTGAGGTCGGGATGCGATGTGCGAAAAGGGCGGGATGATGAATGATGCGATGGTCGCGAGTGGTAACGGTGCTGACTAAGGTGCTATAGTGATGTATGCGTTTAGCAGGGACGCGAAGTAAGGAAAAGAGAATTTCCTTACACTACCCCCCCTTCTAAGGAGGTCCTCCTTATGAAAGCGCGTGGATGTCTCGGAAATTGCTGTGAGATTTGTAGAACAGGAATGTGTGGACTATGAATGAAGGCAGTACAAATATGAAACCCTAACTGGGTTGTACCTCCTATGGGATACCCCACTACAGCCTACACTATAGTATAAGCTATAGATATGTTCTGACACACCCCCATAGGCAAAGTGGGGGAGAACAAGGGGTCACAAGACCAGTCAAGCAAAGTAAAGCAAAGCAAGCTCGGGGTGGATCACAAAGTCACCACACAGTCCGAGCACAAGAGCAGGGCCAGAGGCCAGTTCACATGCAAGAGTACAGACATATATATATATAAAAGTAGACAAACAAGAGCAGGTATATATATATGTCACAGTACAAGTAAAATCAAGAGGAGAGCAAGTGAGGCAAGACAGGCACAAGACCCAGCTGGGTGCAGAAGCGCTGATGGTCACAAGGCGCGAGTGCCTTGGTGAACACATCAGCAGTGTTGGCCTCAGAGGCCACGTACGCAAGCCGCAACTGTCCACGCTGCTGTAGCTCACGAGCAAGGAAGTAGCGAAGAGCAATGTGCTTCGTTCTGTGCTCCAGACGCTGCTCTCGACACAAGGCCAGCATGGCCTTGTTGTCTACGTACAGCACTGGAGGAGAACGAGGCGGCTCTCCAAGGTCAGTCAGCAGGTAGGTGAGCCAGCGAAGCTCCTGTGCAGCCATGGCCCCGGCGTAGATCTCAGCCTCACAACTGGAGCTGAGAACCGAAGACGAACGAGTAGCCCGCCACGAGACAGAGCCGGAACCAAGACTGAAGGTGTAACCCTGTGACGACCGCTGCGTAGCCTGGTCGTCAGCCCAAGAAGCGTCTGCGTGCCCTGTAAGGACCACTGGACTCCGCCCTCCAAGCACTAGCCCCATGCCTGACGTACTGCACAGGTAGCGCAATACCCTCTTCGCTGCAGCCATGTGCTCTGGTCGGTGTCTCCCAGGAGCAACATAGCGTGCAAGAATGCTCAGAGGGTATGCAAGGTCAGGCCGTGTGCAGGTCATCAGGTACATGAGACAGCCAACAAGCTCTGGGTACGGGCCACTCGACTCTACGGACTCATCCGAAGGCAGAGCTGAGAGCGAGTGGCGAGTAGACAGAGGAGTGGCCTGAGGCGAGGAGTACGTGAAGCCGAAGCGCTGAAGGACCTCCTGCACCATGTGTGACTGAGTCAAGGTAATGGTGCGGCGTGCTCTGTCCCGAGTGATCTGCAAGCCAAGGTAGCTGCGCAGTTCACCCAAGTCTGTGCACGTGTGTCTCTTCAGCAGCTCGGACTTCACGTAGGCGAGTCCAGCAGTGTCCGCTGTGGCAAAGACCAAGTCGTCGACGTACACGAGGATGTAGAACGGCGGCAGGGAAGTGTCGGTGCGCAGAAACAGCGACGGGTCAGCAGTAGAAGGAGCAAACCCAAGAGCCGCAAGCGTAGTCCTCAGTGTGTCGTGCCACTCACGTGGTGCCTGGCGGAGACCGTAGACTGGCCGTCGGAGGCTCCACTGGGTGCCAGGAGGGAAATTCCCAGTGAAGCCAGGTGGACGGCGCAGCCAGATCTCCTCGTGCAGGCTACCTTGCAGGAACGCAGTGCTGAAGTCGAGAGAGTGAAGCTCGTAGTCGCGCTGAGCGGCTATGTGCAGCAGCACCCGAAGAGTGGTCATCTTCGGGGTGGGAGAGAAGGTCTGAAAGTAGTCAACTCCCTGCCGCTGACTGAAGCCACGAGCAACGTACCGCGCCTTGAAGACAGGTGGAGAGCCCGGCGGCCGCTTCACCCTGAAGATCCACATGCCACTGACGATGTTCGCCCCAGGAGGGGGAACTGCGTCAACGTAGGTGCCTGTGGACTTCCAGGAAGCCATCTCTGCATCCATAGCTGCCTGCCACTGAGACGAGTAGGGACCCTCTACGGCCTCCGCGTAAGAGCGCGGAGTCGGGATGTCTAGTGCATCCGGGTCTCCCTCAGGAGCAAGCAGTACAGACGCAAGATGAGGTGAAGCAGCAGCCAGACACTGTAACTCCTCCTGCCTGTCCTCTAGGACGTCCGTGCCAAGAGCACACTCACCCCCGACGGACGGAGGACAGACAGACGCAGACTCAGCAACAAGGCTAGCAGCGTAGTCTAGACGACAGCGAGCAGCAAAGTCGACGAGCTCAGCGACAAGAGCAGACGCAGCAGTGGACTCAAAAGAGGGGTCAAAGACGAGAGTAGTAAGCAGACGCGTGACAGTAGGACTGGCAGCACGAAGAGAGTCCGACTCAGGGTCGGCAAGCGCAGGAAGAGAGGACTCAGGAGGAGAAGGCAAAGGGGCACGCAGAGGAGCAGTGGACGGACGCAGAGACATCCGGTGCGTGCCAGGGACAGGAGGAGGACGCTGACGCGAACCGCGACCACTAGTGCGAGCAGCACGAACAGGCGACGCAGGACGAGACGCAGGCTCACGACGCTCAGCAAGACCTCCAGTAGGACCAGTGTAAGGAGAGGGAGCAGGCAGTGGAGAGGAAGGCTCCAACAGGGACTGCGACTGGACAGGCTGTGGACACTCTACCGGAGGAGAAAGACCAAGAACCTGCTGCAGGAGCGGAACGAAGTACGGCCGAGGCCGCGCGGCAACTCCAGACTCAGCAGGGACAGCACCAGCACCCTCAGCAACAGCACCAGCGCCACCAACACCTCCAGCGGCAGGACCTCCAGCAGCACCAGTAGCAGAACCACCGCCGGGACAGACAGCAGTAGTCTCAGCACCAACACCCTCAGGAGCTCCTGCTCCAGGAGTACCCGCAGGCCCAGCAGCTCCGGGACCGGCAGCACCAGCACCCTCGACGGTCGAAGAAGCTCCAGCTCCAGCAGCACGCCTTCAGCGGCGAGCAAACCACTCGCGCAGCTCCTGTGGAGAGAGGGGCTCCCGGCGAGACGTAGCAGCAGGAGAAACCCCAGGCTCAGCAGCTCCAGACGTAGCACCCCCAGGCTCAGCAGCTCCAGACTCAGTACCCCCAGGCTCAGCAGCTCCCGACCTAGCACCCCCAGACCCAGCACCCCCTAGCTCAGCAGCTCCAGGCACCGTACCCCCCGGCTCAGCACCCCCAGGCTCAGCACCCCCAGTAGCAGCACCTCCAGGCTCCGCACCCCCGCGCACAGCACCCCCAGAGTCAGCACCCCCAGGCTCAGCACCTGCAGTAGCACCAGAGTCACCAGTAACCTCGACCGGGTCAACTGCGTCTACCTGGGACACACCTGAGGGGGCAGGAACCTGAGGGGGGAGGGGGTCTACCGGGGGGGGAACTGGCACAAGGAAGTCCGGCGGAGGGAGGAGGGAAGGAGTGCGGTAGGGGAAGAGGCGGTAGAAGGGGACTGACTCGTCGAACGTGACGTCCTGGGAGGACAGAACACGACAAGAGGAGGGGTGGTAAAACTGCCACCCGGGAGCGTCTCTGGGGAAGCCAAGGAAGACACAGGGAGCAGCACGAGGGGACAGCTTGTCCGCAGACAAGTC